TATTATTATTATTATTATTATTATTGTTATCGTTATTACTATTATTGTTGTTAATAATTGTTGTTTATAATTTGTACAATTAACCTCCTTGTGGTTCGACCCCGGTCTTGCCGGGTTATTTTTTACTTCGACACTCCTGCACTTGGGAGAAGACATCAATCTTTTAGTCGTGTCAAGTTTTTGACGTTGTTGCCAGGGAGGTAAGTTTTTGTATAAATTATAGTATTTATTTATTTTTTCTATTCACTTTTCTTATATATACCTTTGTCTCTTTTCTCTTGTTTCTTCTCCTTTTGTTTTCTTCTTTCTTTTATTTTATTCCTATACATGCATGAGAGAGTGGTCACGTACATTAAGTGGTAGACTTTGTAGGGTATCCTCATCATTTTCAGAAAATATGGTCGAAGAAGATAATCAATCACTTCATAATGAGAATAATGAGAATAAGATGTGTTAGTACAAGTCGATAAATTCATTTATCCTGTGGATTTTATTGTCTTGGACACACAACCTGTTGAAGTATGTAATTCATTTCCTGTTATTTTAGGACGTCCATTTCTTACAACTTCTAATGCATTGATTAATTGTAGGAATGGACTGGTGAAGCTATCATTTGGAAACATGACATTGGAGATGAATATTTTCAACATTTGCAAGCAACCTAGAGATGATAATGATTTACAAGAAGTAAATCATATTGATGAATTAGTTTATGATCAACTTTTTCAATATTTGCAAGCATCCTGGAAATGATAATGATTTACAGGAAGTGGACTTTACTGAAAAATTAATTCATGATTAATTTCAAACCACTTCCAGTGAAATTGAGATTGATGAATCTGATGATTTGCAAATGATTTATTTTCAGGAAGAATCAAAGACAAGTAATTAGAGGCCATAAATTGAGGAATTGTCACCACGATCAATTAAGTCCATACCTTCAAGTGTTTAACCACCTAAATCTGATTTGAAGTCGTTGCCATCCAATCTCAAATACTCATTTTTGGGAGAAAATGAAACTTTTCCGGTAATAATCTCTTCCAAACTTAATGCACATCAAGAAGGTAAGTTATTACAAACTCTAAAAATGCACAAAAATACAAACTCTAAAAATGCACAAAAATGCATTAGGATGAACCATAGCTGATATAAAAGGAATTAGTCCTTTGATTTGTACACACAGAATTTATTTGGAGGAAAATGCTAAACCCTCTAGAAAAATGCAACGAAAGCTAAATCCTAATATGAAAGAAGTAGTGAAAAATGAAGTCATTAAGCTTCTAGATAATGAAATCATTTATCCTATTTATGACAGCAAATGGGTAAGTCCTACCCAAGTTGTATCCAAGAAGTCTGGAGTCACTGTGATAACAAATGAGAACAATGAGTTAATTCCCACTAGGACTGTTACTGGTTGACGCATGTGCATTGACTATAGGAAACTTAATTCAATGACTAGAAAAGATCATTTTCCTTTAGATTTCATGGATCAAATCCTAGAAAGAGTTACAGGTCATGAATTTTATTGTTTCCTAGATGGCTATTCGGGTTACAACCAAATTGAAATTGCATTGGAAGATCAAGAGAAGACTACTTTCACATGTCTATTTGGTACTTTTGTATATCGAAGGATGCCTTTT